CCTACTTGGGCAGCACAAAGAGATTTTTAGTTTTTTTTTTTAATTTTCAGTGTGTGTTTATTGGATAAAATACCACCCATGTTCCTTTATTCTGAAGCCATGACATCTACTGTATTATTCTCCACTGTGTATCCTCTGTTTGTTCTCAAGAAATACCCTCTCAAGTTAATAATATTCATACAACTTTTTCAAGTTTGAATCTACTGATACAAAATAAGCAATCTGCCATTTAGAAAAGCCCTCCCTCATCGCTAATTTTTCTATGAAGGAAGACTTAAATGATGAACTTTTATAAATTCTCTGTAGGGAAAGGCTTTGTAACAATTATATTTGTACACTTTCTATCCAGTATGAAATTTCTGATGTCAAGAGAGTATGATGCCCTATTGGAAGGTCTTTCAACATGCATTATATTCATTAGTTTTATCTTTGATATAAAATCTGTAACATTTACTAAGCTCTGAGTTGTAATGATTGACAACCCAAAATATATTACATTCATAAAGGTTTCCTCTCAAATGACTTCTTTGATGGAAGTCATATCTCCTTCACAAAGCCCCTCCTATGATCATTTCTGTAAAGCTAGCATTGATAGTGCTTCAAGGTTTGCAGAACCATGTACATATTTTACCTCACTGGATTTTCAAAGGAACCCGATATCATTCCTCACTTGCAGATGGAGATACTAAAGCCAAGAGAGGTTAAGTGAGTTGCCAAGAGTCACACAGCTACTAAGACAGAATCTAAACTCAGGTCTTCCTGATTCCAAATCTGGTATTCTTAGACACTTTACTACCAAAGCATCTCATCACAGTATTAAGCTTCTCTCCAATATTTTCTAATATTCAGTAAGTATTTTCTTCCAACTAAAGGCTTGCCTACAATGAAGTTTCTCTCCAGTATGGATTGTGATTCTAAACAAGTTCTAAGCTCCCCTGAATGGCTTTCCCAAATTCATTAAGTTTTCTTCCCCTATTTTTAAGATTCAATAGGACACAATTTAATAATTCAATAATAATTTAATAGAGTAAGATTTAATAATATGTCTTCTCTGCCAAAAGTCCATCATATTCCAAAAGTTTCTCTCCTATATTAAATTTCTGATGTTCAAGTGATGTCTTCCAACTTAGGGCCTTCTGACATTCTGATGAAATCTTTCCCCTGTGGGTTTTTTGATGTTCTGTAAGAATTGTCTTCCTGCTAAAAGCCTTCCCACATTGATTACACTGATAGGGTTTTTCTCCAGTATGAGTTTTCTGATGTTGACTAAGACTTGTCTTCTCTCTGAAAGCTTTCCCACATTCATTACATTCATAAGGTTTCTCTCCAGTATGAATTTTCTGATGTCGAGTAAGTCTTGTCCTCCTAATGAAGGCTTTCCCACATTGATTACATTGATATGGTTTCTCTCTAGAATGACATTTCTGATGTTTACTAAGTCCTGTCTTCTGACCAAAGGTTTTTCCACATTCATTACATTCATAAGGCTTCTCTCCAGTATGAATATTGTGATGTTCAGTAAGTGTTCTCTTCTGACTGAAGGCTTTCC